ACCCTTGGTCCTTTAACAACTGAGTCATCTCCACAGTGCTAATCTTAAATTTTTATCATAGGTCTAATTTATTACTTTTGCAGTGTTCTTACGTTTCTTGTGTGTGTGTGCATGTGTGTGTGTTCCTGTATGTGAGTGTGGGTGCACAAGTACCACAGTTTGAGTATGGAGGTCAGAGGTTAGGTGTCTGTCCCCACTTCCACCTTGAGACAAGATCTCTGTTTTGTTATTTCTATTGTGTATGCCAGGCTGGCTGGCTCATGAGCTTCCAGGGATTCCCCTGCCTCAACCTCCCATTCTCCTAGAGTCCTGGAATTATAGGTACATGCTACCATGTCTGGCTTTACAGAGCAAATGAGTCAGCACCCCTAAGGCCTTTAATATTTCTTAAATATTTCAGATGTGTCTACAACCTAGCATTTTGAAATTTATTTTATTGCACAATATAGTCATTTTTGTAAATTTTTTGTTTGAAAATAAAGTATGCTTCATATTTTTAAATGTTTTTATGTGTATCGTTTGCCTGCACGTATGTATATGCACCATGTGTGCACGGTGTCTGCAAAGACCAAAAGAGGATGTCAGATCCCCTAAAACTGGAGTTCCAGGCAGTTGTGAGCTGCCATGTGGGTTCTGGGAACTGAACCCAGGTCCTCTGCAAGAGCAGCAAGCACTCTCAACCACTGAGCTACCTGTCCAGTCCCGTGTTTCATAATTTTGAGATACAGTGTGTATTCATTATGGACAGGTTTATTTTGGCTCAAGAGTTCAAGGATACCATTCATCTTTGTGTAGAAGTCACAGCCCCAGGAGCTTGTGCCAGCTGACCACTTTCTCTGCATCAGGAAGTAGAGGATGAATAAATGCTGGCGCTTAGCTGGCTTTCCTCTTTTACAGTCTGGGACCCCAGACCATGGAATGGTGCTACTCAGTTAGGGTGGGTCTTCCCACCTCAGTTACTCTAATCTAGGTAACTCTTCACAGATACTCCAGAGGTTTGTTTCCATGGAGATTCTAGATCCTCTCAGTCTAGATGGTAAACCTGACAATCAAGATTAACCAGCAAGCTGGGAACAAATGAAAAGCTTAAGAAAAGAACCATTCACTGGAAGAAGAGGGTTTCAGATCTTCAGGAGATAAGTCTCTACGATAATATGTCGGCCAGACCAATAGATTAGTTGTTGGGTGCCTGCTTATTGTGCTCAGGACAGTGAGCTCATTCTCAGAAACACAAACTTTAACAGCCTTCTCTCTCCAGAGGGAAACGACTTTAATCAATTGCAGTCAAGCTGCAGGAAGTAATGGATGAGTGCCCACATTTGCTAAGCACAATAGACTTGAGGTTGCACTATGACCAGGAAGCAAACAGAAGCCTCTTTGTTAGCTCCTAATGCATTGCACAAACATGGTACAGAGGATCACCCTGACTTTCCACTGTCACCTTCGAAACATTCAAAGCATTAATACTGAAGTCAGGAAGGATTTAGTTTTATTTATGTGTGTGCGCCTGTATGGATGTGTACCACGTGTGTACAGGTGCCCACAAAGGCCAGAAGAGGGTGTCAGATCCTCAGGAACTGGAGTTAGAGAAAGTTGTGCGTTGCCTGATGTGGGTCCTGGGAAACAAAACTAGATTAAGAGCAGCTAGTGCTCTTAAGCCCTGATCCATCTCTCCAACCCTGTACAGACTTCCCTCTGAAACCTTAATATTGCTTCAGTGTCACTGTGGACAAGGCAGGGGTGAAAGAAAGGAAGAAGCACTTACGTAAGTGGAGGGAAAACACCACCACCACCACCACCACCACCACCACCACCACCTGAACCTAGAATGCGATGGGAATGGTGCACACCAGAGGCTGTACTGATGGGAGCTGTGCACACCCGAGCCTTATTCTGAGATGGGAGCTGTGCACACTTGAGCTTTACACCACTCCCATCTCAGTGCAAGGCTCAGGGTGATGACTAGGCCAACTGGATGGCAGCAGTGCAGCGGTCCATCGAGGCAGAGAGGAGCATGGACAAAGGTCTGAGGGATGAGGGCAATCACTGAGAACTGGAGCATCCTCAACTTTCTGGAAGAGACACACTTGGGTAATTCAGCATCTGGTTTAATGGAAGGTTGTTATGATGCAACTCAATGGCCTTGCAGAAATCTCTACATTCCCTTGACCTGTTACACGGAGTATACTTGTCTAAAGAGTGCCTGACAGCCCTGTGTCCTGAGTGAATACGATGACTTCCTCAGCATCTCATTACAAGAACACCACATCATTTGTAAACATGTTGCTTTCATACTTTAACAAGATCTACTAACTAGCAGGAAGCTCATGAATTCATTGTTCTTTTAAATTTTAAGGCAGAGTAAAAACACCGACTCCCCACAAAAGGCCTTCTTGGTATGAACTGACATTGCCTGAAAAAGCTACATCCATGTCACAGACTCTACAACTGACCAGAACTTTGTCATTATGGAGACCTGTAATTTTGCAGATTGAGAATCAGAATTACCTTGGGCTATCCTCAATTCCTTCAGTAACTTTATCATGCCTCCTCTGTATCAGGTAAAACCTTTGGAATGTACTAATTTAGCAGATTATTCTACTCCGAAGCTAAAATATGCCACCAGATAGCATCTTAGACCTTTAGCAATGGTTTCCTCCCGCTACAACTCATGTGCTCAAGGTACCCAGCAGTGTATGTGGGGATTGTATTTATGACTAAACTTTTGTTCTGTGACCATAAACGCTTATGCAATAATTTCCACAGCAGAATGTGTCATTCAGGGTAACCTGAATCCATGTTCCTAGGCTATGTTCACTCAGACCTGGCTAAGATAAATCTCTCGTTTTCCTTTTGGCACAAGAGCTGTGTGTTTTGCATTGCTGTGGCCTTCCTTAGAAGAACAGAAAGAGAGGTGGGCCGTGTACGTATATATATAAAATATACTGTTAAAATTCCTTTTTATAAATTCTCCCTCTACAGACTAAGTTGAAAATTACTTTTAGAGCAGGAAAAAGTAGGGAAGAAAGTATGGAGGACACAAAGATCTAAGATACAACAAACATTTAAAAAAATCAAATTGATGGTTCCAATCTGACAATGAGTTAATAAGTAATGGAAATAAAGTTAAACCAATCTTCAATTGATCCTGTCCTTCCTTCCTACTCATGCATAGCCTCTTAACTGTTAAAAATTATTTCCTTAGTATAACCAGCAACTCTGAGGGAAGAGGGACAGTAATCTTGCCATGTTTAAGCAACCCCGCCCCCACAACTCTACTCTGGTTCCAAGGACAGGCTTGTGGGAAAGATGACAGAAATGGCCCACCGTTCTTTGAGGGGTGATGAGGGACTCACTAGAGATCACTGTTTTTCTTCTGCCTCAAGAGGAAGTATCTGCCATTGCTCTGATGAAAAAGAATCCCTCTAGGGATTTGCCACCAGTGAGTAATTCCACACTAGACTACGTCTAGCTTTAAAACGAGGGTCAGCCAAAGTGGCCAGGCCTCAAGGATTCCCCCGAGCTCCACTGCAATTCTATGTTCCCACTTTTCTGGGACTCTCCATGCCTCAGTTAAGAGGGCTGAACAGGGGTCCAGGAATGAAGGGGAATAGAAAAAATAACTGCCTCATGATCTAATTCTAGAGTGAACACTTATTTCACATGACCCTTCTAATCCTACGAAGTGTGTCTGAACCTGTCATAGACAGACAAACTGCACCAGGACTCCAGAGTCAGAGACTAGGGTTCAGACCAGGGTGTCCACTCATGGGACCGCAGGAGCACTTTTTAACCTCCAGAGTCTCCTCTTAGGAAAAAGGAGCCATACAGTATAGTTAAGTAAGGATTAGCAGTGACCAGGTACAGGGTACTTCATGGAACAATAACATTCTAGTTATTCATGTTAGACTTAATATTACAAATGGAGTTTTGAACCATCATTTATTTCAAGGATCCAAAAACTCAGATCTCAGAATGGTTAATTTTAACTAAATTCACTCCAACTATCAGACATTGACAGATTTTTTTTTTTTTTTTTTTTTTTTTTTTTTTTTTTTTTTGGTTTTTCGAGACAGGGTTTCTCTGTGTAGCTTTGCGCCTTTCCTGGAACTCGCTTTGGAGACCAGGCTGGCCTCGAACTCAAAGAGCATTGACAGATTTTTAATCATTTATGTGCCTGTATGTGTCTGTATGAATGTATGCCGTGTGTGTGTGTGTGTGTGTGTGTGTGTGTGTGTGTGTGTGTGTCCCCTCCATAATCAAGAGAGTGCATCAGATCCCCTAGAACTGGAATTACATGTCATTGTGAGCAGCCTGATGTGGACGCTGGAACCACTCAGGTCACCTGAAGAGTTAGCAAGCACCTTGAACCCCTGAGCCATCTCTCCAGCTACCTGGTTGTTTCCTTAAGGAGTATTATTGTATATGCCACTATATTAATGGCATCATAGGAACCCAATTCAACTTCACTGATACAAAACTGTTCTTATACTTGGTATTGACCTTATGTGAACAACATAAAAAGCTTTCTCAAAGCCTGTAAACAAGCATGATTTTGTACCATGCACAATCTGGGTATAGTTCATTCTTCAAATGACTACAATTATCAATTATAACACAATAACCTAAAAGCATTATTTTGGTGTCGTGATATTATCACAATTGATACTGCCCTAACAGTTCCCCCTTGTTTTTGATGTAATACAAAGGCAAGTGGTTAGTGTACACACGTACGTACACACACACACACACAGTTTGTAGTTTGTTAAACATTTGCCACACATCTTTAAGGTAGCTAGTAACTGCAGCATGGGTACAGACCAGTAATTATGTAAATTAACAACAATTCTCTGGATCAAGGGTGACGTCATGAAGTCGAACTGCAGGTGAACTTTCAGTTAGAGAATATGACTCTGAAAAATGAAACCCCATTCATTGCTTTCTTCTCTAGCGATTACCATCTTACATAGCATATGCTCTGAAGAAGTAAGAAAAAGCCCTTTTAAATTTCATGACTGGTTTAATCAGGTAATTCCAGGAGAGGGGAAATCACTGAAACAAATCGTCTACCATCTGATAAGTCCAATTACATGGTATGATGGAACAAAAGCAGTTACAAACTCATATGTGCATATTTACAGTATATACTCACAACTCTCAAGCTAGTTGACTCTACGTGGGGAGATGCATTAGGACAGCAGTTAAACAGGCTTCCACTGCTCGTTAGAAAGGATGCAGTTAGGCTCCTAGTGGGGGTAATATACACGTGAGGCACTTCTGAGGTCAAGGAAATAGAAAGCAAAACATCCTACACACTGGAAATGTTCACACAAAAACTTGTGTATCTTTAATACAAAGGCTTTCGACTAGATTATTCTTGAAAATTTTCAAACACTGACAACTTTTTCAATTCTAGCTTTTGGGACAATGGGTAACGTTAGTATACCAAAGCAACTGAAAGGTTTCTAACGGTCAGGCTGCTAGGCTACGAGGACCTTGACGCCCCTTGTAAGTCTCCTTCCCTCCCCGCCCACTTTTTGGTTTGTATAAATCATCTCTGTCAGTGTGTGCAAGTTCTTAAGATTTTTAGTTTGATTCACCATAAAACACACATGGCCCTCATATCATTTATAGCAACTTTCTAGTGTTTCCCCTAATACTTAGAAATGTGATTCTGGAAGCCCAGTCAAGAGTAAGAGCAACATTTTAGTGATGAATTGGTTTTATCCATTAACTAAGATTCTCCAAGTTACTTTTCAGAAAAAGGTTACACTTGCTCAATGCACTGTTGGACTACAATTAAAATTACTTTAAAAACACATTAATCGAAGTTACACATTCCAAATATAATCAGACATTCAATTTCAACAGAAGACAGACCCATAAAACTCTCTACATTGCCCATTTAGAGGGAAGTACATGTTTTCTGCACTCTGAAGACTGACAGGAGTATTGAGAAATACCTGTGTGCCACTTCATTAAGGGGAGAAGGGGAGAGGGAGAGAAGAGAGCTAGGCTCACCCAAGGACTTAGATGGCACTATACACATGAATTCAAAGTGCATTTGTATCATTTCAGAAGCTCATTTTAGGCACTGCTGAATATCCAATGGAAATAGGTAGTTTCAAGTTTTCCCTTGAAATTTAAGCCCTGTCTCCTCATCATCATCCACTTAGAAACATACACACTCTCTGGAGTTGTCGTGAGAAAATACAGGCAATTATGTTGATTTTTTAAAAATTCTCCCTGACTGGCACTGGGAAGAAAATAGGAATACCATTTGGTAATGGCTTCTCAGTTAAAGGAACTGGTTGTATAACTGCTTCAGTACATACATAAGTTTGACTGCCAGTTCCAAGTTTCAATAAATATTTTAAAACAGGATATGTAAGAAAAAAGTGCTTAAAATCTTCCAGCAACCAAAAAAATGCATTTGAGAAAAGATTTATTTACATTCCTTTGAGCTGTTCCTTACCCCTGGTTTCTCTGGTAGGCAGTGGGCCACCCTCTGAACAGCCCTTTACAGGGCAGACACCATCTCCATCTCTCGGCGCTGGTCTAAAATCATCCAGCAGGTGGCACTGGAACTCCACAAGTATTTCTGCTCAACAAATCAAAGGCTTCCCCCATAAGCCACAAGAACCACTTGAGAACTACTGATTCTGAGCAAACAAGCCCACCAGGCAGAATTCTTTCTGGTCATGCCATTCCGATGATTTTCATTATTTACTTTTATTCTGTTGAGCCATCTGCTTAAACTTTAGACACAAGGGGAGTTTTAAAGGAAACGCCCAATGGCAGTGCCAAATCTGTACAGCGAATGAGAAATCATTCCCAAATCCACCTCTACGTGCTTGGGAATAGGATTAAACTGTCCAACTGATTCACATAGGGACTCAATACTACTATATCATCAGTTACTTTTCTGGACTGATTTGAATTCGTATATGCTAATTATAAAAATCCAAGGTGAAAAAAAAAACAATTTCATTACCATAGTTTTTAATGAAGAGAAATGTTTAAAACTGTAAAGGAAAAAATGGGAACAGGATGGCAAAATCTTAGCAGCAAAGTGGTTAAACAAACTGAAAATATTAATGCACAAACATTAAAATATTAAAGCATGTATGTTGCGTATAAAATACAGTAGAGAACCAGGAGATGCACTATAGTGACTAGTGCTTAACAGAAAAATGATTAATTTTGTTCTTCCCAGAAGTATATACACAGTTCATTTCCACGGCATTTCCTACATAGCCAGCAAGTTATTTTCTTCAGTTATTCACACCTTGCTCCAACCTGAATTATAAACTCCATACTTACAAATATGAATATTCATTCAGAAAGAAAACCAGTATTTCTATTTCAACAATAAAAAGGAATTTTGAAAGTTAACAGTCTGCTCTAGGAAACCAAGTTTATCTGAAAATGTCAGGGATGAAGATCATCTGTGTAGCAGCCTCCAAATATAGAAACAGTAAAAATAAGACTTAAAATTGCTGCTACAGTGTCCGGTTTTGGATTTAGTTCATCCAATTGATTTTTAGTACAAAACTAGAAATAACCTCTTCTTCATAACATCTATAGTTATCAATATATTTTTCTTCTTTTCAATGTGAAATAATACTTCAAGATGATCTATATACATAATGTTGTCAGTTCAAGCTGTCATATAAATATAAATGCTTTCTTAAAAAAAAGTATCTTACAGACAGATAGTGTTATATATACATTGCTCAGTTTGATCTGGGGCAAAAGAAGAAAGCTAACACAAGCTGAAGCGTGACACATAAAGTAACAGTACAGAAATGACACTGAAAACCTGTGTGATTTTCTATCACTTCAGAAACTTTAAGCAAAGGGAAAAAAAAGGCACACTGCTCAAGTGTCAAGGGAGTATTGTCAAAGAATCCCTCAGATGGTTAGAATTTTAATGTAACATTAAAAAAAAATAATTTGACCCCAAAACACTTTTAAATGGTTTGTTGAAATATACCATACCATTCTGCAAATCAAACATCCCATAATACAAATGCTCTGCAACAGGATGTGATGAACAAGATCTTCCATTCACAATGGCGGATTAAATACTTTCCTGGGAGAGTTCTGCATACATTTAATGCAAAGTAACTTTGCTCCTGGCTAGCTGAAATAAAATGCAGCTAAAAAATGTTATTGTTATGTGAGTAATAATAAGCACAGAGGATTAAGCTTTAAAAAAAAAATCAGTGAAACAGCTGTGTGCATTCTGGTTTAGCAGAATGATAAATGGAGACTCAAGAAGAAACTGCTTCACACTAACTATCCAGTTAATGCTCCTGCCTTGTAAAACCTTTATGAGCAAGGTTAAGTTTTTTGGAAGGAGGGAACTCTGAAAGAAAACAACTTGCTGGGTGAATACCACAAAAACAGAACAACTGACCCCTCGCTTTCCCTTCTATAGTTCCTCGGTCTCTTGGTATAAAAATAAGTGTTACGTTTCCATCACAACATTAGACAATGACATCTGTGCTTAAAAAAAAGTTGGTCACTCAAGGCTATTAGAGTATTTTAAAGAGTTTAGAGTTCCAGAATGTACAGATAATAACTCAATATAAACTGCAGCCAAAGAAAACTGAGGACGAACATATCAAATCTTTCACATGGATACAAACATTATTAACTAGATGAGTTAAATATTCAAAATACATGGAATGTGGTGGTAGATATATGCACATCTACCTCAGAACTAGGAAGGGCAAGAAAAGTTTAATATGTCATAGTTCGTACCTTACATTTAGTTAAATATAAACATTTGTTATTTATACATAAAACTGCTTTCAAAAAACAACTAATAAATGATTTAGTTGTACTTGTTTTCTCTTTTAATTTCCAAGTATTAACTTTTCTGAACTGAAATCAACTGTCTCTTAGTGCACTTTTTAGTTAATGTCCTAAAAAAATTCATATCTTTAAAAAGTCCCATCACCTAGTGCATAAATATAAAAATGCCAAAATTAATCCCTTTTAGTTGGATCATAATCTATGTTGACCTGCTGTAGTCAATACCCAGAAATGACTTTCTTCTGCAAATGCTCTATGATCTGTCCCAGAACATGCCATGCACTCAGGGAAACATCGGCACGGCTGGCATCTGTAAATCACAAGAACTGACGAGTTCTGCTTCCTCCAAGCATGGACCCAATACCAGGCAAGATTCCATACTGCTTGCCAACAGCTTCCACAAATCCAAGTTAGCTAATTCCTGGAGATGAAGATTTTAAGCTCGTGTTGGCCCTGAACTGCTTCACCCAGCAGCCTTATGTTTCCCACCACAGCACCCACACGCCTCACCACAGCGATGGCACATTCTCAAAGGGACGTAGCAGCACATACATGGTACAATGAAGGACAGAGCTACCAGGGCTAACCATCTTAGGCAGAACTTGTCATCACTAGTGTCACATGAACAAGGGTCAGAAAAGTCTCCCTCTGAGTCTGACATACAATGATACAGCATGCTCTCTGCACAGAGCATGCAACTAACTTGATATATGCATCTTTTAACAGGATCTGGAGCATCCTGGCATTTTCCCCTGCCATTTTCTTCATGATTAAACCTTTCCTGGCAGTACACGCAGCGAGAACGTTCCCCATCCTCTTTTCTTCGTTTCGACTTAAACTTTAACGAGGGAGGCTGTGTCTTAAATACCACAGAGTCTTTCAGGGAACTTAACTTAGTTTCATCTCCACAGTGGTAGAGATAGTCTGATTTTTTACTGTCTTGTTTAGAAAATGGAATATTGGAGTCAGTATCGTCTCTCTCCAAGTCATTTTTCCACATGTCCGGATGTCTGTAGTCTGCATACCGACGTATTAAGATATCTCGAGGATTTATTCTGACAATCTCATCCTCATCTTGAAAGCTGACGTGTCTGATTGACTTCAAAGGGACCTAGACAAGATAAAAATTGCAGAAAGGACTATGACAGTTAATTTTATGTCAATTTGATGGAGCGACCCTATCTAGGGATTCATTCAAGGAGCTCTGTGAAAAAGTTTTGGATTCGATCAACACTTCAGCTGGTGGACCATATCCAATCAGATAATACCTAAAACTAAAACTGTCTCTCTGGCATGGCAAGATGAAGTTCTGCCAGCAGGGAGCCTTTGTACTCAGGCTCCAGTTTTCCTCCATCTCCAAACCAATGGCTTATCTGTAGATTTTGGGTTACTATTTCTCTCCAGTACTGGAGAATGAGCCTAGATCTTGTGCCTGCTAGGCAAGCACTCTACCATTGAGTTACACCAACTAGTTCTTTGCACTTTGTATCGTGTTACAGGACCTCACTAAGCTATCTAGATTGGTCTTGTGCTCTCATTCATCTTGCCTCAGCCTCTTGAGTAGCTGGGCTTATAGGTCTGTGCCATGAGACCTGGACTAGATTTTGGATTTATATCCCATTACTGTATAAGCCAATTCCTTAAAAGATCCACCTACTGGTTCTATTTTAGTTTTTTTTTTTTTTTTAGTGCCAAAGAGCTGGCTGCCATTGTACTATCTTTAAAAACATAGAAACGGGTAATGATTCCTGACTAGAAATGTTTTATGACACATGTCAGAGCCTCAGAAACCACTAGTAGAAATATGGCCTATAAGGTCCTGCTGGTGAGGACTAGGACAGAAACAAGAACGTGCTACTGGACACTGGGAGAAAGAAAATGCAAGTGACGAGATCAATCAGGTTTGGTACACCTGGAAGGTAGAACTTGGAAGTAACAATACTGAACAGAAGTGCTGAAAGTGTGGCACAGTTTTCTTCTTACTGTTTACAATACCGTGTGTGTATGGCAGGTGTGTGGGCGTATGTGTGCGCGGTTGTGCTTGCACACAATGATAAAGGACTTCCTAAGCAAAGGGAAACTAAAACTTTGGATAATTCTCAGTGTACTTTTATTGCAAACCATGGGGAAGTGGAGAGGATACCGGGCACACAGCTGGATAAAGCAAAGTGCTGCCAACATGGACTAAAGCAGGTAGTGCAGGATGGAGACAGAAGGTTTCATCTCTGGGTCTCTGCAAAACAGGCCAAGAGCACCGTGTGGCTACAGGCATACTCCATCCTTCCAGTAAAGAAGCCTGACTCTGGAGGCAGGGCTGAGACGTGTTTCCACAGTTCAAGAGGGAAGGCTAATCTTTTATTGCAGCAGGCCATGCTATGGTGTTCTAGGACCCTGATAGCAATGCTGATACTAGGGGTGAGGAGGAAGCAGGGAGGACCACCAACTCAAGAGGGCAAGAAGAAACAACCACAAAACCAAAGATGATTAATTCCAAGTCCTAAAATGGAACAAAATGCTTCTTATTAGGGTTTGGACTCCCTTAGGATGAACTATGACGTCTTCATTTCAGTTTCTCAATTCTGTAATGGGACTGACTGTTTATTTTCTACTCTACACTTTTCCTAACACTGTATTCTAGAAGCTATCTTCTGTCTGGTTCCACAAGATCACAGCTGGAGAGCAATTTTGTCTCAAGATGAATCATTTCCCAGGGGTTATCTACACTTTGTTGAAATGATAGTTTAAGACTTAGGAATTAGAGTACATGTTGGAGTGGGACAAGCCTTCTGGACCCCTGGATGCAGGTGCTATATTATTATTCTCTATGTGAGAAGGGCACGTGAAGTCCAGAGTATGAAGTGAAGGATGCAGTGCATAAATTAGCAACATGAGTTCCTGTTTTGTCCTGTTCTGATGGTGCAGAGTCAAAAGCCACTCAGGCTGAATAGAGCCTATGTACAGAGATGCAGCAGATACATACTGAGTAAGTCTCATATACATTTCACTCAAGTGGAAATTAGACTTGGATGCTGAGCTGCTGTGTTTCAGACCAAGAGACAAATGACCATTACTTACCCTATTTTGGGACTTTAGGCTCCCACACTCCTTAGATATTTGCCTCTGTACATATTCCATACTTCGGCTCTGAATGTCCAGGCCTTGCTGACTGAATGGCATCTAAAATTCCAATAATTTCGATTTTAAGTGACAGCAGTATATAAATTTCTTACTTTAAACAAAACCAAGTACAACATACATTTCAAGCCTTTACACCTGATAGGTTGTAAAATCATGCCTAACCAGCCTCCTCACCACCGCACACACCAAAAACCCATTTGGATAAAAAGCAGAATCAGGCTAGAGAGATAGCTTAGCAGTTAAGAATACTTGCTACTCTTACAGAGGACTTGGATTTGGTTCCCAGCACCCACACAATGGTTCAAAGCCATTTGTAACTCAGCTCCTGGGGATCCAAGCTGTTTGCTGGCCTCCACAGGAACCACACATGTATGTTTGCTGTGCATATATGTTGTGTATCACATATGCAGGTAAAACATTCATACACACAAAATAAATCTTAAAAAAAAAAAGGAATGAAAAGCAGAATCACTTCTTCCCCATTTTACTCTTGGAAAGAATTTTCTGTTGTAAAATGCATTTAAAATCCAATTCAGCAAATAACATCTTGCACCAAACAACGCCCCTCCCCCCCCCCAAAAAAAAACTACCACCAAAACCAAACAACACAGAAGATAGGTATAGTGACCCATGCCTGTAATCTCAGCACTTTGGAGGTTGAGAAAGGAAGATCACTAGAGCTAAAGGATAACCTGGACTAGAAAATTACAGTTCTAGTCTAGCTTGGAATACAAAGTAAAATCCTGTCAAAACAACAAAAATGGGAGGGGCAAGGCACAATAATCACAATGGGTTTTTTGGAGTGATAGAAATATTATGGAATTGAGTAGAAGTGACTGCACAATCTTGTAAATATATTAAAACCAAACTTAAATACATTAACAAGAGATTTTTATGGTATATGAATTACGTTTTTAAAAAATGAGGGCAGTCAATGTCCTGATAAGATTTCTTAGCTTGAATTGTAAAGAACATTAAAACTCAATAGATTGTGGTTAAAATTTTATCAGTTTACTTTTTAGAATTTTATAGTAAAATTAAATAGACATAAAAAGTAAAGAATATAATGAACTTCCATGTTAATCATCATCAGTATTTCAGTCGTTCTGTATTCTTTTTATTGTTTTACTGAAACATTCTCATCTAAACCCTGCTACACTTAATAATTAAAGTGTAATTTGAAAATAGCAACACATGTGTTCTATATGAAGTATGAGGTTTATAGGTAGAACATATAAGAATTCAGGAATTAACAGGGAAAGAGACCAATATGGATTAAAAGTTCTGGTAAGACTCCATGAAGGAAACACAGAATAAACTATTTGTTAAACTATTATAAATAAGGGAACACTACAGAGAAGGAAGTAAGAGGGAAACTTCTTGACTTAATATAATGACCTCAAGTTAAAAAGTACGTAGTCTTAATGGCCAAGGGTTATAGTTCTGGGGTAATGCATTTGCCTAGCACGTACAAAGCCCTGGTTTCAATCCACGGTGCTAGAAGAAGAAAAAAAAAAAAAAAAAAACTTCCTGTAATAGTTTTCCATTATCTCTTATTATCCCTATTTTACTATCTCAAAAATCACATATACACATCCCATATAAACACATACACATTCTGCAACTATCCAAGTTAATGGACCAATAATGTAGATACTGTTCTCTCATGTGACCTGTAAGTAAAGAGACAAACGGACAATACTGCTTTTACACTCATTTAACAAAGGTGTTAAAATAGACACCGCAATAAAGTCCTGCTTTTGAAAACACTGGGAATACATGCTATTTCTATTATCTTTAGGATAATTTATCAGCTTAAAAGCCAAAAGATACTTTTTCAAAAGGATTCTACTCATAATGGCAACAAAATAGTACAAAGAAGTAAATCTGACATACAATCCCTTTTCTTGAAGAAAATATAAAGTTAAGAGAAACACAGGAAGAACTATATAGAAGGATGTACCATCTTCACGAATGACACCAAAGCCTCCCTAAGCTAATGCACTGATTCAAAACAACAAATATAAAACACAAAGTTTTCTTTTTTAACCAAACTTAAACTGAACAAGCTGCTAAGTTAGGACACTTGCTGAACAATAACATTTCTTACAGAGATGGAATCTAAAGATGACAATGTGGTACAGGAACAGACAAAATGGTAACAGATCTCATCAGAAACACCAGAAACAGACCCAGACATACAGGTAAGCTTGATATGCGACATTCAGGACACTATGAACCAGCAGGAAAGGCTCCAATACAGGGACTTTTTCTATGTGACACACAGCACTGTACACCAATGGGGGAGGCTCTAATAAATCAGTTCTATGCAGGAAATAAAAACAACTGGAGCTCCACTACAGAAGAAAACATGTCAAGCTGTGTTAAGGACAAAAGTCACAAAACTTTCACAACCGGGAGGAAAATGGCAAGATAAGTACAGAGAGGAATTTACTAATTAACACCAGCAAATACAACACAGATACTACATTAATAGCAAAAAATCCGTGTTTATTAAAACAACCACCCACCCCGACACACACACAGGACAGGAGCCACAGACAAACCTCAAAAAGGACTAGCATTCAGAGCACACAGCAAAATATCATTTAGTTTACTACTCAATATGAGGTTTGTTATGACAGCATGTTCTTAAATAATTTATCAACAATAACAGCTATTTCCAATTACTGGAATTTGTATTGATCAATATACACTCCCTGTGCACAAAGCATACATTACTTATGTAGTCTAACTTGCATCTTCTTAAACTGAGTAGTGACCTCATGAGGTCACATATTTGAATGTGGGATTTGAAATAATAAATGAAATTAAAAAGGTAACAGCTGGAGGTTTCTGAGAATACAACCAGACCAAAAAAATTAATTCAAAATCAAACATCATCAATCTGGGGTGATTCTGACAGCACTTGTCCATGTTACCACTTCACCGCAGCCCTGAGTCTAAATACACACAAGGCAACATTGCATGGTACTCGCCTTCAGGTCACACCTAGGAACACTGCCTGAAACACTGTGGCTTAGATCAAAGACTGTGTGTATAAATGGCAGTCTCCTTACTGTACATAAAAGGCTTCCTGCACTTACAGAATCATAATGGTTTAATTGTAAAAATGGGCTTTATTATTTTCCTGCTGCCATTCCTCAGCATGTATCAGCACTCTATCTTTAGACTGCACTGTTAACAGTATTTTATTTCAAAAGTTGCTGACTTACAAGTTTCATTTAAAAAAGTCAAATTTTGGTAAAGGATTGATTAGGAGATTTACCTGCAAATTTCTGAAATGGCTCTAAACATATACCTGCTATTTTGTATTTGTGAGAAGTGGCATTCTCAGCATTGATAGTAATAAATCAAAATACTGATCAATTCAAATTTTTTTTTTAAAGACACACAATGTTTTGCAGTATTATATACTGCACCTGAGGCAGGGTTTAATTTTTAATTTTATGTTTATAAGTGTTTTGTCTATACATATGTTTATGCATCATGTATGTGCCTGGTGCCTGTAGAGGCTAGAACAGGGCATTGGATCCCCTGGAACTGGAGTTACAGTTGTGGGTCCCACATGGGTTCTGGGAAGAGGACTGGGGTCCACTGGAAGAGCAACCAATGCTCTTCACCACAAATCACTGGTTTATTTATGTAAAAATCTTATTAGTGCACACGTTGCATTTGTCTCTGGTAAATTTAAATGTTGCCAAGGAGCTGTTTTAAAGTCAACTACAAGTTATCACTTGTATACCTATTTTATATCCATACATACCCATGGTCACACAAAAATTTCTTATGCAAAGGAGGGTTGCTAGAGGGGAAAGTTTAAGAAGGGCTGGACCAATTTGTCACAGAGTCTTTTACTGCACACCAACATCAAAAACCCACCTATGCACTCCCTAAGAAACTCACACATGCAAATAGCTGGAGAAAAGAATTATCAAGCCTGGCAGAAGAAAAAGACCAAGTGTAGAGATCCAGAAAAGCAGAACACTAAGCACATAAAAACCAAAGTAACAGAGGTAAAGGTAAGGGGCAGGCTGGGATGTTTCTGGGTTGTGTGGTAGCTTCTTGGGTGCTCCTACATTTCACAAACCTCTGATCATGACCTCAATTCATAAACATTATCTTGTTCATGGTAAGAAAAGCAGCTATGACTTTCATGCCAGTTGGTTGAACTAAGCCTTAACTGAGTATTATCATTTTCAAACAATGTACTTATCTATACAAACCATTTAAACAGCCACGGAACACTAAAGGAGCCAAAGAAAAACAGTGACAACGTCTGTAAGCATTTCTGGAGGGAAGACTTGAAGCCAGCATTGGGGACACTTTCCCACAGAGCTCGCTTCTGCAAATCTCCCGGGTATATGCTTTGTCCACCTCTGTTTCGGACCTTTTTAAGGATATATGCACAGGAATCCCCTGAAAGAGAAAATGCTCTCTCTGAAGGCAGGACTGTTTAGTACCCAGAGAAAGGAAGACGTAAGTAAAACAGTCAGGCCGGTTAGTCTTGACTTCCTGAAGTTTAAGGTTCTGTTTTAATTTTTAGCATTTCATATAAATTCCTAGATATATTTAGATTATTTTCTTCTCTTCTCCTTCCAACTCCTTCTGTGTCCTCTGCTATTCCCTCTCAAATTCATGGTCTCTTATTCCTTAATTGTTATTGTTAAATATATACACATAAATTTAGAAATACAACCAGCTGAGTCCCTTTGATATTTCTCATGTGTTTGGGATTAGCTCAGCAGGGGCTTGTTCCTGAACTCTCCTTCTCTCAGTAGCCATTAACTGCCTACAGCCCTTCATCGAGGAGTGAGTCCTTGTGAGAACTCCCCTATGCTGGCATGCCAACTGGTGTTCAGTTTTCAGGTCTTGCTTAGGCAGCCATATTGTTGAGATTTCACAGCTGCAGCTTCTCTCTCATATAGAGAAGACACTAGCTCACAGCAGTCATCCTAGTTTTCTGGCTCTTTAATCTTTCTTCCATGTTCCCCAAGCCTTATATCTGTGGGTATAAGAATAAGTACTTAAAATACAATCAGAAATTAAACTGGTTTAGGAAAGTGGCAGTAGGGGGTTCTCCTCTAGGGCCTGTGACCTTTACCAGCCACAGAGAGTTGGTCAACTCCCCTCCTACTCAGTGGAATGTCCAACTAGATGACTGTTTGTCACTCACTGAATACAAGCACCACTATTGCATCTTTCAGAATATGAACATCCTTATGCGAGTGTCACAACTGGGTATGTCTACTGAGTACTTTTCTCCCTTGGCAGCTTGCATAGCTCCATCAAATACTATGAGAACTAGTCCTTATAGCTCTAAGCTCTATAATGCAAGCCTATTTTGTACATCTTGAGCAAACACCAACCTGATGTTTTAGGGAACAAGGAAACCAACATGAAAATGAAGGTCATGCTACTACGCTGTACTGAGAAATAAGGCTCTTTGTGTCTTACCACACAATCTTGTGTCTTCTGGAGGAATTTATAAACATGGCAGCTAAATTTGGTAGCTATAAGTAAGGTAACATTCTAGACTTTATAGTTCAACAGGGCAACTGTCCAGTCCTTTTGAAAAGGTAGCTTCTCTGTTGTAGAAAAGGATCTGTCATTAAGATAACTCTGAAGCAGACAACTAAATATTCAAGCATTTTAATTCCTCTGTTGAACACTTATACTCACACCAAGAGGTTTTTAGTAGTAGCCCAGATCAAGAACTACTGCATGTAGAGTATGTGCTAAGATGACAAGATACTGGTTATATAATCCTCTTGGATTCTGATTCTTATGTATCATTTCCTCAAACTGAAGTATTTGAATCTTAGAAAAGGGACTTCAATTTAGTTATTTTGAAAAACAAAATGAAGTTTCTGCTCTGCAAACTAAGGGTTGGATTCTGTACTGTGGGAAATTCTCCATGATGCCTTTCAGATTATATCCAAACACAAATGGTATGGAATCCTAACACCATTGTGCTGAACACAAGAGTGTTTTACTCTTGGCAAGTATGAAAGCACCATCATTTGTGGTGATATTGTATCCCCCAATATATTGTGTACCCTAATAAACTTATCTGGGGTCAGAGAACAGAACAGCCACTAGACAGACATAGAGGCCAGAAAATGGTGGCACACACACCTTTAATCCTAGCATTCTAGAGGTAGAGATCCATCCGGATTTCTGAGTTCAAAGCCACACTGAAAACAGCTAGGCATGGTGACACATGCCTTTAGTCCCAGGAAGTGATGGCAGGAAGCAGAAAGGTATAGAAGGCATGAAAACCAGGAACTAGAGTCTGTTAAGCTTTTGGGCTTTTGAGCAGCATTTCAGTTGAGATCTGTTCGGATGAGGACACAAAGGCTTCCAGTTTGAGGAAACGAGATCCGCTGAGGAATTGGTGAGGTGAGGTTAGCTGTGGTTGGTTCTGTCTCTCTGATCTTTTAGCATTCACCCCAATACCTGACTCCAGGTTTGTTTTTATTAAGACCTTTTAAGATTCGTGCTACAATCATCAAATGCATAATTTTGTATATTAACCCCTCAACAAATAAATGTATAGCTTTAAAGGAAACAAACCCATCATATTTAATTCCTGCTAACTGGGACGTTACTATCTAGCTCTATCTATAATCTTGGAGATCAGGACACATTTGAATTATTAGAGACTAGGAATAATATCGTTTTCTTTATTTAACAAAATACTTTCCCCAGGTGCTTTATATATCACATTTTGTCATTGTAGTTTCCTAACTCCTGGAGGCAGATTCTAGTACTACTCAATTTATAGACAAAAAAACCCTGAACTATGAAGATGTTATAAGGCATGTACCTAACAAAGGACTTGGTTCTAAAAATAATGCAAAGAATATCCCTGCAATTCAGTAAGAAAAGGCCAAGCAACTCAATATGAGACATGTAATCAGGGAAATAAAACTTAAAATCACAATAAAATACTATTTATTTCTACCTAGTGACTACTTCAGTATAAAAGAAAAGAGGTAGAGTAATACCAAGTGTCCCAGGAAATTTCAACTACCTGTGGGAATGTAAATGGGACAATGACTTCGAATTGTTGTTTTTGAGTAAAACTGACAATCCATATAAATGATCTGTTTTTTATCTCTGGTGTTTGCTTTTTTTTTTTTTATTTTTTTATTTTTTAGGTTTTTCGAGACAGGGTTTCTCTGTGTACCTTTGCGCCTTTCCTGGATCTCGCTCTGTAGACCAGGCTGGCCTCGAACTCACAAAGATCCGCCTGCCTCTGCCTCCCAAGTGCTGGGATTAAAGGCGTGCGCCACCACCGCCTGGCTATCTCCGGTGTTTGTATAACCCAATACACAACTGTGTACCCAGGTTTGTGAAAAACACACTAGATAAAATACAAGGCGATTTCCACAGTTTGAACATTCAATAATCTGGTGCCGGTTCTCTGCTTTTTTCCCTTTGTTTTTAATATGTTGTTGTTTTCTTCCAGATTATATACACCTTTGCTCATGGTGTTCTCTGTAATGGAGACTGCATGTCTCTTCTTGAAATCAAATGTGGAATTTCTAGCTTCCTCTATGTAACGGTTATTTGGAGATAGGCCTTTGGCTGATAGTTAGGTCATGAGAACAGAACTCCTGATCTGACAGAATGAGTGTCCTTGTTAGAGCCACATCTGTCTTTATTTCTATCGTTCCCAACCAACTGGGGACATAGCAAGAAGGCAGCAGTTGGCCAGCTAGGAAAAAAGGCCCTTACCACAGCCACTCCAACTCCCTGTCATTCTAACTGCTAGAGCTGTAGGATAAAAGAGACAAACAAAAACCTTGCTGTTTGAGTGACCCAGTTCATGTTGTATCACAACAGCCTGAACTACGATACTCCCTCCTCCCTGTCTGCAGCACTCACCTTCACATCCCGTGCCCTTTTACAGAGCAGTACATGAACTTGTCTACGGCCATACCACCTGAATGCACCCAATCTCGTCTGACTAACATTAAGTGTAAATCAATACCCTTTCTGGGTTTTATTTATTTTTAACCTGGTAAAGGACAAAGGGTTTTGGTGTTCTTCTGTGGCACACCAGTTTATACATGCTATACATACGAATAGTATGCATTTCCTCACCTGGCTGCCTTGCAAGTAGACTCTTCTGGCATTCAGATCTTCAAAGGGTAAAGGTCTTATGTCTGAGCTTCTGTAAGGCTCACTGGTAACAACTGTCTCTTGCTGGAAAAGGTGATCTTTCACTAGGGAACGAGAAGCGTCCTCTTCAGTGGTCTGATGGGAATAACATCAACAAAGAAAGACACTTCAGCACAATGAGTAAGTCCATGCCATTACCATCACCATGAAAGGCAATTCCCTGAACTCAAAAGTTCACAATCAGAATGCCATGCCAAAACAAAAGGAAATTTAGAACACTTAAACTTCATGAACACTGACCTTTTTAAAAATAATTCAGAAGAAATGAAAGGCTACTGTTCCAAAGAGATACAATGATAAAGCCTTTAATTACATTGAGAGTAATACAAATACATAGGTGATGAAGAAATTAGGAAGAAAATACAAGTAAATATAACAATTTGCAAATTAAAAATATAAAGCACACAGTAAAAACTATACTGATGATACAGTGAACAGAAACATGAACAACAGTGGTCCATGACCATGTTGAACTTGTTAATGACTTACACTTAAATGTTTCATCAGTCACCATAGACTTAGGTGAGGAAATATACTCGACTAGTGATGGTCACTTAAGACAGTATTTCAAAATATCACAAACAAAAATGTCTATAATAAAATAAATGTTACATAGGTGAAAAGTAGCAACTATAAGACAAAGTCCTAGGTGTTTCCATTTCTTTTCAGTGTAGATTATACCATTGCTACTGTCTCCATTAATGTGTAATTATTTGAGAAGAGATCTTGACAGTCAAGTAGAAATGGCTGAGTATTTTCACTGACTCAAATTATCCTAAAATAATCTGGAATAATCATTATAGTGTTAGCAAACTCAAAGGTTCAAGATGTATATTTTGTTTCTTAAATAAGTTTTGAAGCGTTTGCTAATGCTACTTCTAAAATAAACAAGTAAATTACATAAACTGACTAGGATCTTTTAAATTTATAAGTAAAATTTTATTTTTAGTTCTAGAACCACAGTCTCCAGCTATTTAATTTCTCCAGAATACAATTTCTAAATTACGAAATAACTGTAACACCTAGTAAAACCGTTTACGTGAAAGCAGCCATTACAACAGGAATCAAGCAGGTAAAGTTTAAAATATACATGAGGACCCACTGCCAAGTAATGCTAACTATGTCAAAACCAGTTAATTCAAACAAAACAAAACAACGCAGTTTTAAATAATTCCTTAATGATAAAAAAACAAAAACTGCAGTTTTAAAATGAATTAAAAAATTCCTTAATAAAAAACAAAACGAAACAGTTAACTCACGTTGTGACCTAATTCTCCTAACAGTTGTCCCAAGCTATTATGACAATTAATGCTAAATTACTGAAAGGAAGCTGGCTAAACACTGTTATCAGCAAACATTTTCTGTCAAAATACATTTGAAAATTGGGAAGAGCAAAAAAGAAGAGAAAAAAAAAGAAACTTGTTTACCTGCTGGAGACCTTCAAAAACAAACTACCCAGCTACCCACAAACTGAATATAAGACAATGTAAAACACAAATGGCTAAGGAAAAGGACCTCGGAGGCTTTGATTCACTCATTAAAATATGATAGAAAATTTAAATGGTCAGTCAACTTTTTACTATAAATTTGGTACAGTAACAGCCTTAGAGCTGGTTGGGATACTTACAAGATAAAAATTTCAATAAGCATGAGTTGCAGCAACAAAAATAATTATAAGGTAATTATATCTTTAAGATAACTTCTTTGATTGTGTTATCTTTTACTAAAGTATAGCCTAACTGAGAAGTCATTTAGGAATTCTAAATTAAAGCTGGGCATGTAGCTCAGGGTACCAGCACTTGCTTAGCATGAGCAATGCCCTGGATTCCATCCGCAGCACAGCAAGGAAGCAACAAAAGTTTTTGTTCCAAACAATAAGCCTTACTTAAACTATGTTTCTGAACAAACATAAAACGGTTATATAGCCCAGTGCTGACTTGGCTAGAATTCTATACTTCTGTGAGTTGAGTGACAACTGATAAATTTTTAAGTATACACTTAAATGGGTCTCAGTCAGTAAAACAACTAAAGCATCATTTGAACGTGAAAAATGACCAAACAAGTGTTTGAAAGGTGCTATGCACACAATGTATAATAAAGCACGTATTACTTATATATTATGAAAATGTAACATTTTAGACAATCCTGAACTGGGAGAAAGGTTTGATTATTTTTAGGCTGTTAATTTCTTTAAAAAAAAATTAGGTTTATGCTTTTCCCCTTACTTTTGATAAAAAATCTTAATATTTTAAAATATAATACAAATACACTCTATCAGTGAACCAGTCACTTTTTAAAAACCATAATGTATCTTTTCCCTTTCACCTGATACAATGGACTGCAATATTCTACACCCTTGCCTGAGATATCCAGATTGATGCAGAGTAACTCTCTATGTCCATAAAATGACTTTGTAAACATCTGAGCCTTTCCAGCCACTTTCCAATCTATTTCCTCTTCTCAATACCCACTGTCTGACTGAAAGCCCCATTATTCTTCTTGCTTATCTCATTTTAGTGTGATTCAAACTGATCTTTTCAGACTTTGGCCCATCATTTTTCATGAAGAGTTTTTGATTTTCTTTTTTATACTCAAAGTCCTATTAAGAGTCCCAACTACCAAGGCTGTAAGAGACTGGGCAGAACCTCCAGAACATTCTCCTAAGGTAAGTAACTACACAGTCCACAGGAATGCACTGGGAAAGTTTAATAAAGTTCAATTTTATCTTACAAGCAAAGAAATGCACTACATTGCACTTGCTCAAGAATTTTATTTTTGAAGTTATCACAAATTACATTTTTAAATGTGTGGCTAGATGATATTCAACAAGACAAAACCTTAATTATTAAATATATATACATATAAGCATATATATAGTAGCTAAAAACTGTATGCTCAGATTTTGTCACCTTATAAATTCCAAAAACTTCTATAATTCTGTTGTACTAACATCATAACAAACATTTTTGTATAATGTTTCTAGTGCCAGTTCATTTTAGAATTGGCCACAATCAACTATTCTGTTTAAGAGATCTCCTCAGGTACATTTTTGATTAAGAATAAACTCAGTCCCCTCATATACACCTTTGACTTTGAAGACAGGATCTCACTAAATATGTAGCCCTGGCTGTTCTGGGACTCATGACGTCATTTAGACTGACCTTGAACTTACACAGATCTGTCAGTCTCTTGCTCTCTAGGGCTCAGATTAAAGGTGTATGCTTTAATGCTTCCCATGCTTCCCTTAACATTTTAATTCTGTACTTTTCTGAGAGTTTTGTCTAGAAAATCACTAATATATATTATTCTACTTAAGCAACCTCAATGAAATAATTGTGATGAAACGGTAAGAAAGGAACATAATAATGTCAAGACATATCTGGCAAAAAATGTATTATTAAAAAAATCAGTCCATGTGCTGGCTTAGATAACAGAAGAGCATTCCAATGAAAAGTTCATTTGGCTTAAAGGTACTTTTAAGTTTGCAGAGATTCTTTACTGTAGATATAGTTTTGAGACAATAAGCAGTAGTTACACAGTTCTTGCTAACTATATAAATCTTCATCTAACCCTTTTTAGTAAACCTATTTCTAGGATTCTACCCAAGGTAACACTTTAGAAACGTGAACAGAAATGTATGTGAAGTGTGGATAATCAAACTCAATCTAAGAAGCATCAGAAACCTTCAGAGCCACGTGACAATGTGTCTAAAAGAGATGCTGTGTGCACAACATGAAAACACTCCGGGAGGGAGCTAGGGCCGTCCACTCACCTCACTCTCAGAAACAGAGCCTTACTAAAAGTAAAGCCTTTCAAACTCAGCATGTCAACAATTTGTCTCTCGCAGTCTGAAAACTATTTTTAGACAACAAGCGCTAATTGAAAGCTTTTAAATCATTTTGGCTATGGCATCTCATTTTACGAAATGATTAAACTGAGTGCTTCTCAATAGTGAAAAGAAGATGTGAGAACATTTAAGTTCTGACCAGCTGGTTTTTCTTTCTGCTCTGAAGCATGGCACCTAAGATCTTTTCTTTGTGCAGTCTCAAGTATGTTATGAGGCATATTTTGTGGTTATATCAATTAAGATTATCTTCTTAAGATAAGTTCTTCTTGGGAGAAGTTCTGCCTTCTCTGATTGGAAAGACATTAAAAATGACACTGAAACAAATAAAAACTGGAATTAAGAAACAAAGTAATCCCCACAAAATCTTAATTGCTTTACTGGAATAGTCTTAAGAAAAGAAACCAAATAAAAGATTTTTCTTTAAAAATCGTTTCTTAAGTAACAACTATGTTTGTGATCAAGGCTGTAATACACACCAGAAGTAAAACATGAACAAGAGAGGATTTTAAACCAAATGATGGACCTGTTCTGAAACTAGTCAAAGACAGTTCTCACGGCAGGTGACAAAGACACTGAACTGCTGAGAGCAGGAGGTGCTCTGCCACCCAACAATCTTACATCTAACAATGATGGCCAAGCATGGGATCTTAATATCTGCTAGATAAATTAATGAAGGAGATTCCTGCTCTGACATTTAATCCTTTCAAGATATTAATTTGAATTTGACATTTTTTTACTTCTACTAAGCTGAAAAAATTAAAGAACAGGTCATATCCTAGTTGTCATTACAAATAACTGTCATAAAGCAACTTGTAAAAAAGTAAGTAACGCATGGGTCAATGAAATGGCTCAATGGGTAAAAGCATTTTGCCTCCAAGGCTGATGACCTGAGTTCAACCCCTAGAACCCACATGGTGGAAGAACCGACTGATCCTCAAAAGTTTTTCTCTGATTTCTACAAGTGTACTGTGTGGCACACATTCCCTATCACACACACATACATGCATCCCCCGACCCCCAATCATTTATCCTCCAAAACTCTGGCATATTATCTAGTGATAATATGGCGGGGGGGCACACATCCTATTCCAAGCACATGGAAGCTCACGACCACCTGTGACTTCAGTTCCAAGGGATCTGATTCGTTCTTCTGGACTCCTCTGGCACTGCATGCATGTGGTGTGCAGACAAACACCCACACACATAAAATACAAATAAGGACCTTCTTTTGCTGTGGAATAATCCCTTTGTACAGTGTGAAGATCTGTTGCTGTGATTGGTTTAATATACAAGCTGACTGGCCAATAGCTAAACAGAATAAGGCAAGAAAGCCAAACTGAGAATGCTGGGAAGGAGAAGGGTGGAGTCAGGAGTCACCAGCCAGATACAGAATGAGTTGGACACACAAAATGGGACAGAAGTAAAAACCTTGAGCCTCAGGGCAGCACACAGATTAATAGAAACAGGTGAAGGTGTAAGAGCTAGTTAGTAACAAGCCTGTGCTACTGGCTGATCACTTACAATTAATACAAGTCTCTGTGTTGGTTATTGGGGAGCAGGTGGTTCAGGGCAGGAAAACTCCACCTACACTCTTTCTACTCATCTTAAAGAAGTTAGCTTCTCTGCTCACACACTGTTTGCTGTATAAGACATCTCCACAAAACTCAACAGCTTAAAACAATTTTCATAATATAAATTGAATCAGAAATTTGGGAACAACATAGATGTACAGAAGTAAATAATCTCGACCATTAAGCCAAATTTTTCATTGGAATGTTCTTCTGTTGTACAAGCCCCATTTAAATCAATACACAATAAGTAAAGGAGATTTCCCTCAGTGTGTGAGGCCTTATCCACATAGATGATGTCCTGAAGAGAAAGGACTAGGGATCTGGAAAGCCTGTTCACTGCTGCAGCAGGAATTTGACCAGGTTCCATCATGCCAGTCTGAAAACTTGATAGATTTTAGACTTCCAACCTCTACAACTTCATGAGTCAATTCCTTACAAAAACAAACCTATAGGCAGTGGTTCCATTGATCAGGAAGACTAGGTAAATAAAGCATTTTTGAAATTTATGAGTTATTAACATGAATTCTAAGACTTCCTAAAGATGTTTATGTTTTTTAACTCCTTTCAAGCCAAACTACTTACTTGTAAATCATTTTCTCCTCCTTCAGCCTCATTTTTTGATGCTGGGCACCCTAAAAAAAGAGGTCAAAGTTAATTAAGCATAGCATTTACATATATTTTGCCTTAGATTTTAGTATTAATGGTTGACTATGTCATTATAAAGATCAAAGATTGATTTCTGGGTTGCTTGGCAACAGGTTCAAACACCACACTTGTAGTTGTTCTGTTAGAATAATAAAGTGACTGCTTCTATCATCTCTTGGCAAATTTCCACTTTCTTTCAAAGCTAAGCAGACTAGTTGTGTTCTATTTCTCTGATTGTTTAAGTGATGTCAAAATGTGACTAACTCAGTATTTCTAAATTGTGTGATCCAGGAAACACGAGCATTCAAAAATCAAGATTTCAGTTGCTCAAGTTAAAAAAGAAGTCAGTCTTGACTTATTATGGGCAGTCAAGGCTCCACTTACTGACTTGTCATACCCATGTCTGCATAAGCTTTTATGGTGTTGAGTGTCCTTAGTTACAATAAATTAATGTAAAATGATGTGTAGTAGTAGAGTATACTGCATTTATGTTATGACACATAGCAAGCATGAAACAGGCATGAGATGAAACATAGTCCTGGTAAAAAGTAGTTTATTCTTTGGGATTAAAAAAAAAAGTGACAGAAACTTACTAAGTTCAGAGAACTTTGATGAAGATGATATTCAATGTTTAACAAGACAGGCTGAATACAGCAATAGTAACCTGCTTAGGCAAGTACACATTTCCTCCTTAAACATAAACTGGCACAATACTGTGGACCTGATATACTCTATCGTAGAAAATGGAGTATTCTCTTACAAGTGTATAAATACAGGCTTAAAAAAAAAATCAATTCTAAATTTAAAATATATGACTTAAAATTTTAATAGTTATGAATAATGATTTTCTTTTTAAAATACTTGTTTTATAAAACTTAGCTAAATAATTAGAATTAACTGGGGAGCTTTAGAAAATATGCCAAAATCAACCAGCTTCATACACTATCAAAATATACTCAGTATTAAGCATTTTCAAGCTCATATCCAGTTTTCCCATAACTAGTTTATTTCTTCAAATTTTTCTAAAATATCCCTTGTACTTCTCTACTTTCTGTCTGCTTGCTTTTTCAGATACAGTCTCATAACCCAGGAAGATCTTGAGCTCTCAACCCCCCTGCCTCAGTCCCCGAGCATAGGACTAATGGGCATGTTTGACCACAATGAGGGTTATTACAGTTTGATTCAGTTACTCTTAGCAAGTTTGTTTCTATTATTAAAGACCTTTTCCTTCTAGATTAGGAGGAAAAAAAAATGGTTATTCTCTCCTATGGGAAGAGATGGGTTTAAATGTAGTTTCTTTCTGTTTAAGTAAACACACACCAGAACTATGGGAAAATAAATCCTCCATTTAAAATCTCCATGTTTGGGGCTAATCAGCATTTAACAGACTGGTAAGATATTAAAGGGGATAGATAAGATTGCAGTCTCTACCAAATCTCAACAAAATCACAGAGTTTTATAACTGAGTATCTAGAGTCTACATATGTTTGAGTATTACCAAGTTTCTTTATATCTCATTAAAGAGAAAAGAGTGTAATGTACCATGACACACACTGTTGACAGGCTCTTCACAATACAACATTCAACTGCTATCGACTGCGACTTGACAAAAATAAAGGAAGCCAAGCAGCCTTCTCACTGCTCACTACTCTCTTTACTCATTATGTCCTTCAAAGTGTGGTCACAGAACACAAATGCTTACCTGATTAAAGGACAGCAATCACTTTAGGTCAATGTTACAGAAAATATCTACTATACCTATATAATGTGTAAACATTCAGAAAATAACAACCACAGCAAAAACTCTACCTTGAGAAATATCCTCTATAGCTCTTCGAATGCCTCGATCAAAAGCCCTGGCATCAGCAGGACTCTGAAAGGTAAGGCCGAACTTCTTGTCATCGATCTTCCAGTGGTGAAATGTAGGAGTGACCTTATTATAAATGAGGTCTTTTTTAAGCATACATTCCAAAACCACCTGCCAAAAGTCAGGTGCCAAAGTTAATGAACACACAAAAATCCATCTTATGTAGCTATTACGTAAACACTGAGGACTATAAATATAATGAGTATTTTTAAATAAATTGAGATACTGAATGTAATCTTCACAAAGTCAACTTAATAAAGGGACTAAGAGAGGATTAAAAAGATCATACAAGTTGTAAACAGAATATGGATTATGCTATCATTTAAAAGACTAAACACAGTGCTGCATACAAAATTTCCAGAAGAATATAGTTAAAAGGGTTTTTGAGAAAGCCTGTGCAGTAGACACAACAGAAGTGGTAGTAACAATTTAACTTTTAAAATCACTCTCCCTTTCCCTTGTGTTTCTGGGCATCTAACAAGTGCTCCACTATTAATTATGTCTTCCAGCCATTCCTTTGCTAAATTTCTTAAGAGACCCATTACAGAAGCAGATCAAATACCTATTTGTCATTTTAGTAGCTTGGTTATAAAACTTGTTTCCCCCTCTTTGAGACAAGGTCTCACTAAGTATGTCTGACTGGCCTGAAACTTCCTAGGTAGACCAGGCTGGCCTCAAACTAACAGACTGCCTCTGCCTCCCAAGTGCTGGGATTAAAGGTGTGTACCACTATGCCTGGCTCTGGTTTGGTAACTTTTCAAAGCTCTAGCTTCTTCATTTTGAAAATACAGTAACAGTATTAAATACACCTTATAATTTGTGAATGAAAGTTTTGTGTAATTTGTGGGACAATACAGCTTTGTTTCTTCGTATTTTATATTTTCTGAAATGGTTTTTTTTTTGTTTTTGTTTTTGTTTTTTGTTTTTTTGGTTTTTTTTTTTTTTTTTTTTGGTTTTTCGAGACAGGGTTTCTCTGTGTAGCTTTGCGCCTTTCCTGGAACTCGCTTTGGAGACCAGGCTGGCCTCGAACTCACAGAGATCCGCCTGGCTCTGCCTCCCGAGTGCTGGGATTAAAGACGTGCGCCACCACCGCCGGGAAGTAACAACAACAGGAAAAATGCCTTCCTCCCTTTTACTTGGCTTATCTATTTTTAACATTCGCTCTATACATTCTAATGTATACAATTTTTATTTTATTTCTGTTTGTCTATTTTTGCAGTACTAGGAATTGCATTTAGGGCCTCACACATGCTAGGCAAGTGGTCTACCACTGAGCTACATTCCTAGCCCAACATTTTTATTTTATTCTGAACTGTAGCAAGGAGGTAATTATTTGATGTCCCTTTAATTGTTCTTTAATCTTGGGTGCCTTTCTTAAGACAAGACTGTTCTTGTATGTAACACAGTGACCAACGTTAACATGGAGACAACACTTTTACCTAAATTCATATTCTAATTTTGTCTGATAATAACATTTTAAAAACTCCCAATACAGGATCCCATTCTAGGATCACACATTATATTAAGTCTTTAATATGGGGGCACTCTCAGCCTTTGTCTACCATGATATCCACAGAGTACTTTCTATCACATTAGCTATCATTATTACTACACAAAAGAAAAATTACCCATCTTAGTTATTTTAAGATTACTCTTTAAGGCCAAAAGAAAGCAATCAAAAGCCACCTAAATAACCCTCAGATCATACATCCTACTTTATTTCTTCCCACTAGTCCTAATGACTTCAATCCACTTTGTTTCCTAGTTTGCTCATTCCTGGTGCTCCTAAGACTAGGAATGCCACAAGAACAGAAATTTGGACTCAGCTTTTTGCCAAAATTTCTGGCCCCAGAGCAACATGTGATATGCATATATACACACACATTATATGTTAAAAACAGTGGTGAGATCTGAGCATCAGGTGAGATCTGAACAATCACCTCAGACAGGGTAACTACTCTGCATGTGAAATACTTTCTTTTTTTTAAATAAAAAGCATACTTTGTTTCAACGTTTACAGTCTTCCCAAAGCTAGGATCAAAACCAAAATCCTAATTGTGGCTCCTTAGACCCGAGAGATGGTTCCACTCCATCCATCCTCATTTCCTACCCTCTTCTTTACTCCCTTTTACTCATCTGACAATGACTCTGGAGATACATTCGCAGAGACAGACAGTGTGGTACAGGTCACTTTCTTTGCCTATACTTTATTAATACTTCCTACTTTAAGATTTCAATTCACAGCCAGGCAGTGGTGGTCCACGCCTTTAAATAAGTTCAAGGCCCCGGTCTACAAAGTGAGTTCCAGGACAACCAGGGCTACACAGAGCTGTCTTGAGTTCCACGCCCCCCCCACCCCCACCGCCAAATCTCAATTCACACATACATTCATAAGAAAAGCCCTTCCTGACCCCTAGACAAGATACAGTCTGATAAAGTCTCTGACACTGTAATTTCAAACTGGTTATTTTTTAATACCTCCTTCCACTGAGTCTATAAACTGGATGCTATATTTGGCTATCACTGTATCCCCCAATCCTTACAACACAGAAGCAACCTTACATATCTAACAAACATCTTTCCTCAGAAAAATACACATGTGCATAGTTTCTTCAAAAAATTTGTAGGCTCCATGTGTTTTCCAGATTTCCACACACTGATTTAGGTTATACCAGTCTACAATTGACTTTTACAGGTTCTGTAGAGTCCAGTGGATAAACATTTTGGAATTTTGGAATTCATTATTAAATCAGTATTCCATGCTGATTTACTATTTTTTATACAACTATTTTTCAGAAACAGAAGTAAAAAAGAGGCAAATTAAATTCTAAAACTCAAGAAGTAAATACTGTATTGGTGTTAATCACTACAATACTTGTACTGTAACTCATTCATAAACATAGGAAATGCAGTATTTTAGAAAATGTTAAACTGGATTGTTTGAAAACAGGAAGAATAAAAAACAGTTTGCTTCTAGTTACTAGGTAACATGTCACTAAATCTTAATTTTAATGCCTGAAAATATTACTGAATTAGCTCATTAGATTTTCTAAAATTAGTACTGTCCAACTGTTTCTTCTTAGGTAAAATCCCAACATGATCTACACTACTGACCACCACCCATTTCCAAATGCTGTCTTCTCAGAGATACACAAAAAAAGGAAAACAAGTTTTAAAGATGAACCTGAAAGAATACTGAAGAATGGAAAGAATAATGATGCAGTTTTTGGACACACATGAATGCTTACAGAAGAGCGTCTACCCAGAGTTGTGTAAACACAGAGTTCATGCAATATAGCAACAGGTACAAGGGCAACATACTAACTAATTATGAACCAGAACTCAATTTGTTTTTACCTACATACTAGGAATTTACTTGCTGATACTACACAATACATTTAATGTAGCAGAAAGCTTCTCTTTAGGAAAGGGCTATTATGGTGGTAGCTACTAAGGGTTTAAGAGGAGTCAGTAGAACAGAAAGACACGCTACCTATTTATTATTACTGCCCCCCAACGAAAACCTTTGTAGATAATCTTCAGTGTATGCCCAAGGATGTGTTGTATCAAACAACGGTTACATAAATCTCAGATCCCATGTCTGAGTTAAGTAATTTCTTACCCATTTAAGTCACATAAATTACAAAGCTGTTTCACATTTGACTGAAAGTATCATTAACTGAGGGAGACAAGGGTGGAAGAAGGGAACAGCAGGGAGGAACTATAATTATTGGAGCGTCTTTATAAGAGAAAACCCTGCATACAGGAAATGAGTAATTCCAAGACTTATTAAAACTATCCTAAATGCAACTGCCAGACATCATAAAAATATGTTTTAAAACCATAAATAGTTTGGTTTGCTTATTTCGCCATTCATAAATGCAGTTATAGCTTGAAATGCAAGGCCAGGAGCTGGATCTGTGGGCAAAAGTGTTTGTGGCACAAGTGTAAGGACCTGAGTAGACTATCTCCAGAACCCATGCAAAGATGAGCATGGCAGTGCACATCTGCAATCCCAGTGCACCTACTGTGAGTTAGGAAACAGGCAGGAGAATCCCTGGAAGTTCTCAGGCCTGCAAGCTCGACATATTCAAAGGCAAAATTATGAAGACAAACAGGGTGGAAGGCAAAAAGAATGTTGTCTGACCTCTACAAGTGTGTCTTGGGATGTGTATACCTGTATACACACACACACGCAGAGAGAGAGAGAGAAACAGAGACAGAGATTGTATGCTTCAAATGTATCTCCACCTAATTTTTCATAACTCAAACTTTTTTCCAGGACTTATGTTTAGGAAATGGGTGAATTTCATCAGGTCCCCTTGATAACCTTAATTAATGAGTTAGTGAGACAGAAACACACACAAAAATACAAATACACACACACATGAATAGCCTCATCCTCATTTCTACCCCAAAGAAAAGCTTATATTAAGTTAATAAAATATAAAAAGCTATTGTATATATTAACACAATATTAAATCAATAAAAGTAACTATAGAGAATACTTTCCTAAAATATTTTGGCAAGAATAACCCCCTAATTTGTGACTGATCCATTTAGAATGTGGCTGGTTAGCAAAGATCAAATTAAAGAGCCATGTTTTAAAAATTACATTACTAATTGTTTTTAACTTGATCATTAACAAGTACACTTCTGTTAGAAAGTAAAAATGTATTATTCCTATTCTGGTAAGGTTAGATAGATGTTAATTATAAAAACTATAAAACTCTGGTATTGCAGAATATTAGTTGAAGATGTGTTTATGCTGTGGAATATTTGTTTAATGATGCAAAGATGTGTTGCATTCTTTTATGGTGCATTTGTTTAACTCTGTAAAGCTGTGTTACTGTGCCCGTCTAAAACAGCTCATTGGTCTAATAAAGAGCTGAATGGCCAATAGCTAGGCAGGACAGAGGAATAGGCGGGCCTGGCACGCAGAGAGAATAAATAGAGGGAGAAGAAGAGGGAAGAGAGAGAAAAGGAGAAGAGAGGAGGATGTCAGGGGCCAGTCATGCAGCTAGCTACAGAGTAAGAAAAAAAGAAAGGTATATAGCATAGAGAAAGGTAAAAGCCCAGAGGCAAACGGTAGATGCGGTAACTTAAGTTAA